GACCCCGGAGCGAGGAGGGAGCGGGGCGCTGAGGGTGTGGCGGCAGATGGCGCGTACCCGTCGCGTGCTGGGACAGCCACGTCTCTGATGTCGTGTTAGGTAAGTCCGAGAGATCTCAAGGGAAACCGCACACCTGTGGGATCCAGTCGCCTTACCCGCCACGCCCCAGGCTGGCCGTGCAGCGCCTTACCGTAACCTGACTTGCGGAGCAGGACCGAGACAGCGGACACCGATGCGTTCAGGGAGTCGGGCCAGTCTGGGAAGCAGCTACCCGATTCGGACACCGTGGCCTCCGTGTAGAAAACAGGTGTTCCTGGTGTGGAGTCCATTGTCTGGTTAGATAGTGGACGAGGAGGAGGTCGAATGTCATTCCTTTCCCAGGTTATTTTGACGTGAACCCTCCTGAGAGAGAGTTTGACTTCTGTCTTTAAGTTTCGTAGTCAAGGGCCGGACCGAAAAGTGCCGTAGCCTCGCCTTGTGACGCTGCAGGTCTGTGTTCCCAGACGGCCAGACCTTCTTCCTTCCTCCTCCCTTTCTCCCCTTTCTCCTTCCTTCCTTTTCCTTTTTACTCTTCTTTCTTTCTTTCTTTCTTTCTTTCTTTCTTTCTTTCTTTCTTTCTTTCTTTCTTTTTTTTTCTTTTTTCCTCTTTTTTTTTTTTTTTTGGTTCGAGGCAGCTGCAGCCAGGAGCCCTTCTTCGAAAGAGCAGGCAGCCCCTGAAGCCACAGCCGGGATGAAAGAGTGGATCTGAGCCTTCGGTCTCAGCTTGAAAGTTGTAATGTACCGCGAATTTGGTTCCACGGAAAAGGAAGCAGTAATTGTCGAAGTGTGTTTTCTTAAGCTCCAGAGTAATTTTGAAATGCTTGTCTTTAATCCGCAGCCAGGCTCGTCTTTGAGGAGACACTGTCGCTCGCGATGAGTCTGAGACTGAAACGCTCGGTCTTTGAGCTACGTTTTGTCATGTTTTGAAACATGAAAAGGTAGCTTATAGCCTACGATAAGGTCTCAAGGATTTGTAGCTACTGGAATTCCGGTGTTCAGTTCCGGGCTCTTGCATGGTTCAATGTCTGACGATCTTCCCTAAAATTTGAGAGAGGGCCCAAGTTGAAAACAACCGCGACGGCACCCGTGAGCTCCGGGCAGCGGAGCAGGACTGTCCGGGCAAGGCAGACTTCATGGCAGTGCCCCAGCCCTCTGTCCGGGGAGAGCAGCCCCGGGGCAGGGCTCAAAGCTGCACGTGGACTTGCGTCTTCCTCGGGCCACGTCGGAGCACACGTGTGTTCATCGTCCTTTGCCACATGTATGACGTATGTCTCCCCTGAAATGAGAACATAAAAATACGCTGTAGAGCAGCTCGAGTCAGTAAAGCAGGGCCAGGACTGGCCTCTCTCTCCAGCGCGCAGCAGACAGTGCATAGGTTGCCATGGCCTGTGGCCCACGCCATGAGTGGCATGGCGCCGTGGCTCTCCGGGCCAGGGTAGCCACGCCAACTCGCGCTCCCCTGTCTCGGATCAGACGCCCCTGTGGGACCCAATACCGTGTGTGTGGAGGGTGGCCTGTTGGGGTGGGGGTGGCCAGCAGAGCGTGGGCAGGTAGGGGTCACCTGCCGGTGGTGGGCACCCTGGAGCCACGCCTCAGCCTGCACCACCGCAGGCCTGAGGAACTGAAGGTCCCCAGGACCCGCAGGTAGATGCAGAGGGCACCCGGGAAGACTGCCCACTCAACTCAGGGCCATGGGGCCTGCAGGGTGGTTGACAGGGGCCGGGGGCTCTGTGTGGAGTGCTGAGCTCGATGCCTTTGATGAGCCGTGCACGCGTGCACATGTGTGTGCGCGTGTGCACATGTGTGCGTAAACACGTGTGCCAGCGCTGAGGGCATGGTTGGTGAGACGTTGCCCAGCACGACAGGAGGGCCAGGCGTGCGTGTCTCTGCAGGGACAGGAAGTGCTGCTGGGATTGCAGGAGCTTGTCTCTGGCGGGGACGGTGGGTGCGTCTCAAGGCAGCCCTGGACCAGCAGAAACAGCAGCTGTGCCTCCACATCCCTCTCCGCTCCCGGCACTCTGCGGTCTGCCTCTGGATTGTGCCAGGTCAGCAAATTGTGTTTTGAGAAAAAACCGATGAGGAAGGACTTCCCCATAGCATAGTGCAGCGTATAGATCATGCATTGCATTATTCTGGAACACAGAATATTTACAGGCAAGACCGAATACACATGTGTGTGTGTGTACGTACGTGTGTCAAATCGAACTGCATTCTGGTGCAGAGCAGTGGACTCGAGACGGTTAATACGAGAGCGAGAAGACAGAGATGCCATGCCCGCTCTGTCCCGGATGCAGGGGCGTGGCCACGTCGCCAGAGCAGAAGTGCCACCCGTTCCCCAAATGCCCGCGGCCCTGCTGCTGCCTCGACGACTACAAGGACGTTGGCAAGCGCTCAGTGTCCCCCGCCCTCCTCGGTGACCGCGTGGAGAACCAGCCCGCCCGGCGTGCCGCTCTGAGCCCACGAGCCCCCGCCTCCCCACCGGGACCAGCGCTTGTCGTGTTTTTCTCTCGCTCGTATTACATTCTGGTCCCTCTGGACGTGGCAATATTCAGATGAAACACTTTCCAGAGTCCAGTGTGTGGGTGCAGTGGTAGTTAAGATCGGGGGGCCGGCCAGCTGTGAACAGGCGAGTGGGGGTGCGACAGGGTCGAGGACAGACAGAGAAGAGGCAGAGGGAGCCTGCTAACCTGACAGTCAGATAACCACAGAGCAGAATGAATTTAACCCCCAGACTGGACGTGGCAATATTCAGATGAAACACTTTCCAGAGTCCAGTGTGTGGGTGCAGTGGTAGTTAAGATCGGGGGGCCGGCCAGCTGTGAACAGGCGAGTGGGGGTGCGACAGGGTCGAGGACAGACAGAGAAGAGGCAGAGGGAGCCTGCTAACCTGACAGTCAGATAACCACAGAGCAGAAGGAATTTAACCCCCAGTTTATAGTGGTCTCTAGGTACATTTTATGTGGTGTAAATGCGTAGATGTAAAATAATGTGGCGGAAATACTAGAATATACTCTTACACGGACACATATGTGTTTCTATGCTAAAAAAAGGGCTTTTCAAAACCCAAACAGGCTGAAGAGGACAGGCAGGAGATTAGCCTACACATTGAAACTTCCCGTGCAACTCGAGAGCTTGGAGAGCCGACTTCAGATGCAAACGACAGGCCAGGAAAGGCATTTTGGTGCAGGGTTTACACACTGAGCACGTTTGAAGTGCCCACGAAACCATCTGCCAGAGCAGCGTGCCCAGTGGGAAGTGGGTGCAGCGCGCGCTAGGCTAGGGAGGCTTCAGAACCCAGAGCCGCGCTCACGAGCAGGGGTCTCAGGCTGCTCGCCACGTGGCCGGATCTCAGCAGGTCCCCCTGCAACGAGAACCCCTGCGCGGCCTCTCCAGAGGACATTCTGGCAACGTGGGTCGAGGTCGTGGTGACCTGCAGTCCTTCCAGCGGAAGAGCAGGGCTGAAGGAGACGGCGGCAGGGAGTGCGAAGACCTCAGCCGAGGAGCCGCACCGGAGCACCCCGTCAGTCGTGAAAAGCCGCGAGGACGTGGCTGCCCCGCCTGGCTGAAGGATGACCAGAGCCTCAACGGGAAGTGTGTGCCGTCACCACCACGGGGCCGCCAGGGACCCCCTCTCCGGCCTGCGCAAGTGCTCGCGGTGCGCTTTCAAGTGAAAATCAGTGTGTAAGAACCAACTGCCTCTGCGTGAATGAGCCAGGCACCGGGTAAAACGTCCCATTATTTCAAGGCTCCTGTCGGGCCTGTGCCAAATGATTGGGGCGTAAAGAATGGGGCTTCGTTCCCGAGGTCCCTGTTTTGTCTGCGTCTCTGAAATGACTCCTCTGGGCGGGGGCGCCCCTCAGAGCTGGCAGAGCTCAGGCCGTCCCGCTGCCTCGTGTCCGTGGGGTTATAAATATAAGGCCCTCTTCCTTTGGCAACGGCGCCGTTGCTCCCAGACGGGTGTGCGCCTACCTCTGGGCGCCAGGCCTCACCCCAGGATCACGCGGGCTTTACCTCTTCCATCTCAATGAGCACGGCAGAAAGGAACAGACGGTTCGCGGGGCCAGGAGCTCAGAGGACACCAGCTGGGCTTGGCAATAAAACCAGAAAGAACCGTAGGGAAGGCAGTTGGCAGGTGAGGGGACACGCCGGGACTGCGATGACACCTTGGGGACAGGACAGACGCGGCTGGCTTCGCCGAGGTCTGTCCTTGAGAGCGCCCCCTTGCTTACGGCTGGTTTTAAGTTAGAAGCTCTGCTGGGCGCTCAGCTGAGCCCGGTACGTTGGCTGTTCTGTAGATCCATCCCTGTAAGGATCGCCTTAGTCGCTTGTGCTGAGCAAGTAAGAAAACAGCAATCTTAGAATCAGAGTCCAGGAGGGAGAGGGCGCTCATCTGGGGGTCTAGTGGGAGATGTTTAATAAAGGGGCTCCCTCCTAAGGTGAGCAAGGTCAAGGGGGGCAGTGAGGGACACGCCACCGCAGCCGTATTATGGCCCAGGCCTGACCGGCGAGTGGGGGGACAGCTGGAGCCTGGGCTGGGGCTTGACCTGCAGGGTGCAGGTGGCAGGACCCAGCCGGGCGAGACTCTGAGCAGGAGGGAGAGGAGGAAATACCCTGGCCTGCCATCCCGCTCTCTGATTCCCAGTGGGACCGCTCATGGACGGAGTCCACATCGGAGCCAGCCACCGAGGGAGCTGTGTGCA